ACAATATATATCAATGTGACAGTAACACAAGTTTCATTAATAATATAATAATAAATTTTTACAAAAAAAAATGATGGATCAAGAAATTGAAAATTTAGACGAAGCGAAATGTTTATGGGCAACGTGTGCAGCAGTGTTTCATTCATTGGATGAACTTATTCCTCATCTTTCAAAGCTACATGTAGCAGGTCGTAGTAGAAGTAATACCTGCAGATGGGAATGTGAAACCATTTGATATGCAATATTTGGTTATCGGATGGAAACTTGTAGTTAAACTATCTCAATCATTCTCTTGTTCCTTGAGTATAGTAGTATATAAGATATAAGGCTAAGCTTACCAATCCCTGGTGATACAATGATGCAGTTAAATTTCGAGGAGGGGTAGTGCTGCCCTGAGGTTTATTGGGAATTGCATCATTGTCAAGGAGATGGCTAAAGCTGGTGCTGGCATTTGGCGGTTTGGCTGACAAAAAATAAATTAATTATTTTGGACATTTGCTGATCACTATTAGTGAATCATTGCGCCCAAAGTCAATAGGATGACTCTTAAAAAGATTGGCTATTGGATCATGGATTACAGCTGATGATTTGTGAGAATCATTAATTTTAAAATTTTTTTTTTGCTATCTTGGCTGTTTTTGCTGGTAGTATTGGCCAGTTAATGACCAAAAATCAATGCTGTTAAAGCCGCTCACTTGTGCAATTCTCTTTTAACTGTGGGAAAAAATTTCATGGTGCACTTGCTGGTTTAGGGAGGCAACTTACCAAATCTGACACTTGTAATCAATTTGATTTTTTAGAGTGGTTTTTGAAACAATTTTAAGGAACTCCACAATTTATAATTATATACAATTAGAAAACACACATACACAACACAATATGCACAGCACACAATGTATACATACACAAAAAAAGGAGACTTGACCACTAAAGTTTTTCCATCACCATTATCCTACTTGGAAAAAAAGCTCAGATTAAAACATCATGGATCTATTCTCCACCTTTCAGTGCACACTTGTGATCAGTCATTCATTTTTAAGGAAATAAAAATTACCACTCTGTCAGATTTTCTCTCATCTTTACTTGTGCATGTGGCTTCTCCAAAACTGGTTCCTTAAAAGGTTTGATTTCTGCATAGTCTAGGTATTATTATTACTACTTGGGTGAT